CAGATCTGAATACTTTTAAATAATAAAAATAATTATAAGTTATAAAATTAAAACTTATTCATATTGTATTTTATCTTATTTATAATCATTTAACAAAATAATCTTACAATATATTATATTATATAACTAGAAGTTTATAATTTTCTATTTCTTTTTCTTTTTATTATTTATTTAGATATTTTATTCAGATGAATTCTTAGTTAATTTGCATAATTTTTTAAGTTAAATTATCTTTAATAATTTCTTATTTAATTAATTTCTTTCTTGATTTTTTTATCTTTTTTCTTTCTTTATCTGTTATTTTTTATTTATTTAAATATTTTATTTAGATAAATTCTCAATTAATTTACATATTTTAAATTAAATTACTTCTTATTTAATTAGTTATTTTCTTGATTACTTCATGAATTCTTAACTAACTTTAAGTCTTTTTATCATTTTCTTTTTTTAGTATTAAAAAATATGCAAGTTAGTTTATATGATTTTTATTATCAAGTTTTTTCATATCTTGTTATATTAGTTTAATATATTTTTATTATTAATTTTTATTATCTTGTTCTTTTGATTTATTATTATTTGTTATATAATTTTTAAATTATTTTTTCTTAGTTATATTAGATTAGAAATAAAGATAATATTATAATTTAATTATAATTCTCTAATTAATTATTATAATTAATCATAATTTTCTAATTAACTATTATAACTTATAATTAATTAAGATAATAACTTTAGTTAAGAAGATAATAATATTAAGATATATAAATAAAAATAAAAATATACTTTTATATTATATCATGATATATCATATATAATTTTTTACATATTAACAAATAAAAAATTAATATATAGCTTTTTCTCTCTCCAAAGCTAAATTTTTATCTTTCTCAAAATAGTTAAGTTACCAGAAATACTTGAGAATTTTAATGATATAATCAGCTATATCAAATCTAGTATCTTTCTAATAAAATATAATATTTCAACAAAGATAACTATTTTTTGAAATAAAAATAAAAAATATTTATTAATAAAATTAAAAACTTTTATATATAAGGAAAATTATATATTTTACTAATTATAATTAGTAAAAAATTTAAGTATTATATTACTTTTGACAGTTACTATATTATATAATAAAAATTTATATTTATATTTTATACTTTGAAATATTAAGATTTTAAAATATTAAAATATTAAATATTCAAAATTTTATTTTAAATTAAATTATAAGATATAAATATTAATATTTTAATTAAAATTTAATTTAGCTAAAAGAAAATAAATATATATTAAATAATATAATCTTTTTATTTTTATAATTATTATAATTATTATATTAAAATAGTTTAAATTTTTTATTAATTATAATTAGTAAAATATGTAATTTTTCTTACATATAAAAGTTTTTAATTTTACTAATAAATATTTTTTATTTATAGCTCAAAAAATAGCTAAAGTTCTGTAGTTTAATATATATTTTTTTCAGAATTTTTGGATTTTTTACCAGTAACTTATTCTAATTACATATGAAGTTAATTAATTTTTATTAATTAATATTTAATAAAAATTAATTAACTTTATAATTAATTATAATTAATAAAATATATATTATTTTACTTAAAAGTATTTTAATTTAATTAATATTATATATTTTTTTTAAATATATAAAGTTTTTATTTATTAAATAAATATCTTTTATTTTTAAATTAAATTCTTATTTTTTAAGAAAATTATAAAATAATTAATTAATTATTAATTATTAAAAATTAATTAAACTTTATAAATAATTATCTTAAAAAATATATATCAAAAAAGAATTAATTTTTTATTTAAATTAAAAATAAAATATATACAGTATATTTTACTATTATAATTATAAAAATTCAAATATTTATTATTATTATTATTATTATTATTATTATTATATAATTAAAATATTATTAAAAATTATATAATAATTTAATTAGTTTAATATATTTATTAAAATTTAATTTATATAAATAACTAATTAAAATTTTAGTTTTAATATAATATTTTAAAAAAAAATAATTAATTATTATATAAAAAATTTTAAAATAAATAAAAAATAATATATTAATTTTTTAATTTAATATATTTTTTAATTTTTTATTTATTTTAAGATATTTTAAAGAGTTACAATACTAAAATTATATAAATATAATATTAGTTTATAACTTTTTATTTAATATTTTTAAACTTATATAAGAAAATATAAATTCTTAATTAATTTTTTTATTTTTATTTAATATTAAATTTAAATTAGAATATTATATATTAATAATATACTTCTAAAACTATAATAAAATTTATCTAATTTTTTAATTATATAAAAAATAAAAATAATTTTATTTTAAATATATTTATTTTTATTTTATATATAAATACTTGTTAAATTTTTTTTAAATTATTATATTTAAAAAAATTAAGTTTAAAATTCAAAAAATTTTTAATCTTAACTTTAAATTAAAATTTAAATTTAATTCAAAATTAATTATAAAAATAATTATAAAAATTATAATTTTAAATAAGATTTATAATTTTAATTATAAGTAAAAAATATATTTTCAATTTAAAATTTTAAAAAAATTAAAATATTTTTATTTAAATAATAATAATCAAAAAATGCAAGATTTTGATAAGATAAAGAGAAGAAATTACTTATATTTGAGTATAAATTTATTATATTTTATAATATTTTCAGAAGATATATAGTAATAAAAAATTTAAGTATTATATTCTTTTTAATTATTATTACATATAATATAAAAAATATTTATTTATAAATATTATATATGACCAAAAATAAGAACTCCAAAAATTAGGCTCTTCAAATACTAAAATCAGAGGGATTCTTATTTTTGAAACTTTGCAATTTGATATTAATTAAAAGTATGAAATGCAATTCAAATCTATTAATAATATGATATATATAAAAAAAGAAGAAAGTCAATTATATTCTATCAAGAAAAAGGCTGTTGTTATTCATTTTACTCTAGTCTCTAATAATATCAGAGCTACTACTTATTTTGATATTACAAAAAGTATAATTAGCAAATGAGTAAAAACTCTAAAAAACCAGCTTAATAATTTTAAAAAATTACAAGTTTTATTAGGTTGATACTAATAGAAAGAAGTTTTTTTCTGAAGAAAAAAAATAACTTTTTGCTTGATTTCTTTAAATATAAGAGATTATCTTGATTATTACATATTATAATTTTAAAATTGAAATATTGAAACTTGTCACTAAAACTTCTATTATCACAAATAATCTCACAAAAAAAATATCATAAATAATTTCAAAGCTTTTTCAAAATAGCTCAAATATTTTTTATATCATTATGATCTTATTTTTCATCATAAAATAAAGATATCACAAAAATTATCCAAAGATCTTGAAGAAAAGTTACTTAATTTTTAATAATATATAATCCAATTACACCAATATAAAGATTTTTTACTCAGTCATATTGCAAATATAAATGAAACTTCAATATGATTTGATATGATAGGTGATCTTACTATTAAGAAATTTATATTATAAATAATAATAAAAATTATTTTACAATTGTTCTTACCTATTTCACTAATGATCAGAAACTTCAGCTAATTATTATCTTTAAAGAAAAGCAGTAGCCTAAAACTAAAAATACATCACTATCATCTCCTAATGTTAATATTTTCTTTTATAAAAAAAATTAGATAGATAAAGAAGGAATAATAGCTTAAATTCAGAATTTTGCAAAAAAATAACCAGATAACTATAATAAAGAGTCCACTTTACTTGTTTATAATTCTTTCAAAACATATCTTACAGATAATATTAAGAATGAAATAAAAAAAATAATATTGATCTTGTTATTATTCCTGATAATCTTATATTCATATATTAATCACTGGATATTTCAATTAATTATTCTTTTAAAGCTACTCTTTATCATTAATGATATATATAAATAGCAGATGGAGATGTCAGAAAAACTGCTAATAGAAATTTAAACTATATAAGCTTGCATATTATATATAACTGGATACTTATAGCCTGAGAGGAAATTACTCTAGAGATTATTTAGTATATATTTCAAAAGTATTGTATTTCTAATGCTTTGGATAGATTGGAGAATGAGAAGATTTTTGATAAGTTGATAGATATAGAAAGTAATATTTGTAGTGATGAGAATGATACAGATATGATAGATGAAGAGAGAAAAAATAATTAAAAGAATAGTAATGAGAAAATTTATGAAATTAATATAATAAAAGAGAATGAAGATGTTATTTTTTTTTATGTGAATATGTAATACAAAATCTAATAAATCTTTCTTTTTCAAAAACTAAAGATTTCTTATTTTTGATACTTTTGATTTTATGATTCTCAGATTAAAAAGAGAGGGGATTTCTTATTTTCAGAGGATGCTTATTTTCAGTCATATATGATAAAAAATTTAAAATAGAAAATAATATATTTAAATAATAAAATAATTGATTATATTTTTTAAAATAACTATAATTATATAAAAATTATCTTTATAATAATTATATTTCTATATAAATTAATTGTTTATTATTCTAGTATACTTTTAATTAATAATAAATAAATACTTTGCTAAAAAAAACTTTTTTATTAATTTTCAAAATTAAAACTTCAAATTATACAAGTATATTATATTATATTTATAAAATTGAATCATAATTAAATTATTTATTATACAGTAAAATTTATAAAATAATAATTCAAAACAAAAGTAATTTCCCTGAATTTGATTGTGATTTATTGGTTGATCAGCCACACGCCACAAAAAAGTGGTCACATATCTTCGTTTTCAACTCTTTGCATTTTATAACATTAAATTAATAAAAAGTAAATTATTTCGTTCAATAACATAATAATAATGATTAATACCAAAATGTAATGCTTTATGCAAATGTAAAAGTAAATATAATTAACGTCTATGATAATTAATAATATTGCTTTTGATTTTGCATATGTTGTGAATTCTGTTGCTGCAGATATGGCTGTTGATGTTGAGATGTGTTAGTAGGAACCGAAACACCACCACCCGGTCGACTCAAAAATCCAGGATCGTGTAACGTAATGCCAGGTCTCACAACATTTGAAGCAGCACCAGGAATAGTGCTAGAAAATCTAGCTTGCTGCTGTTGCTGATACTGCTGTTGTAGATTATTGTTATTATTTTCATTACTATTGTTATTATTATAAGTTTGATGCCCATATTGCTGTTGTTGCTGATATACCAAATATTGTTGCTGTTGATAATACTGAGATTGTTGCTGCGGCGGCTGATAATGATATACTTGTGGTGGTGCTTGATGTGGATACTGAGATTGTTGCTGTTGTTCCGTTGGTTTTTGTGAAAATGGTTTTTGCAGCAATAAATTTTGTTGTTGGTCTTCAGATGGTTTAGGTGACCCGAGCTCGATAGTTTTCATTAATTCGGTGATATCGTCTGGTTGCTGACTTATGTTTTCTTGAGGCGATATAGTTGAATTTTTCATCAATTGGTTAATACTATCTTCGATTTCTTGTTGGCTTACGTGTTCTTGAGTTTTTATATTAGAAGAATTGGATTGAACAGTTGTTGCCATAGTATTTGTAGATGATGAGACAACAGCACCTGAAGTCTGAACCTATATTTTAATTACATATAGACGAACAAGACTTATAATTAGTTAATTAATAAATCAAAAGTTTATGGATTATTTTTTAATTGAATACTTGCGGCTGAAGAGCTTTCTGGATTAAACCTTAGATCAGTATTGACCAATGGATCAAACGGAGGCTTCCATTGAAGTGGATTACTAAATTGATTTTTTTGCTCTGTCGATGGCAAATAGTTGGTATATTGATAATGTCCTTGATAAGAAGGTGGAGGAGGATAATTCGGAGAATGATGCACGGGTGGGGTCTTTTGAGTCTGAATCTGAGTCTGTTCGGATAAAATTGGAACTATGTATTGCGATGGTTGATTTGAAGATACCGAGACCCGTTTCTGATCTGGAGGTGAAGAAAAACTAGATTGGTTATAAATAGATTGACGTTCAGAAAAGGATGATGTCGGAGAATATTTTTGGGTTTGATTCTGAGAATGAGTAGTGGTCATAGCTTGATCATTTTCAGATATAAAAGACGACGAAGGTTTCGGATTAACATCAGAGGGAGGCGTTGGATATGGCTTGTCAGAATTTTGGGTGGGAATTGATGAAATCGTTGCTGGAGGAAAGAATTGAATCGGATGCAGTGACTTTGATTTTTGCTGATCAAGTGGCTGGTGATAATTTTGTTGAACGGACGCCTCGTACTGATATAAAAATTAAAGATTTTAGATTTTTAACGTAATTAAATTAGTTGAATATTTTATCTTTAAACTTACACTTCCAGATTGCGAAAGTTCCGCAGATTGTGAATAATATTGAGGTGGATAATCTGAAGGCGGGTATTTATTCTGAGGAAATTCAGTATTTGGCGCTTCTTCCTATTACGTTTGAAAATTATGTAATGTTACTGAAAATCTTAAGCGATATTCGGAGCATAAATGATTATTTGCACATACTGCTTTAGAATTCAAATGCAAAGGATTCGATTGTACATTCGGAGATCCAACCGAAGTATCGATCGATTTATCCTGAGAAATCTCGGTATCTGGCGCTTCTTCCTATTACGTTTGAAAATTATGTGAGGTAACTGAAAAACTTAAGCTATAATGGAATTAAAAAACTAATCTATCTTGCACATACCGTTTTATTTTTCAAATGCAAAGAAGTCAATTCTTCATTCGAAGAACCAACTGAAGCATTGATCGGTCCCGTATGGGATGCTTCATATCTTGCTTGCGAGAAGGACTCGGTAGAATTTTGTGAATCGTATTGTTGTTGTGGCGGTGGCTGTCGTGATTGAGCTTGTTGTGATTGAGCATCACGTAATTGAGGTCCTTGTGATTGAACTTGTTGTGATTGAACTTGTGATTTAGCTTGCTGTGATTGTGGAGAAGAATAATCATGACGATAAGAAGTTGACAAATCCTATTTTGTAATAAATAATCGTAATATTAGCAAAAATTCTTCACTAAAAACTCATCAATATTGAATCATTGAAAATAAAAATTACATTTTCTTCCTCTTCTACATTATTTGATTGTGAATTTGTTTGTTTATAGCCAAGAGCTGATTCGTTGTTTGAATCTGTAACAGAAGCAGCAGCATCATCTCCTGGTTGTAATGATGTTGATGGATATTGTCCAGAAGATGGATAACTTGATGGTGGATATTTAGAAGAATCTGAAATTTGGTCGGGTGGAGGATAATTTGGTGGTGGGTATTTAATTTGCAAGTCGTGTGTGTGTGTGTGTGTGTGTGTGTGTGTGTATGTGTGTGTGTGTGTTGATGATAAAGGTTTTTGTTGTGGAATAGCAGGCTGCGATATAGAAGCTGAAGATTGGTTTTGATTGGGTGGAGGATAATTTGGTGGATATTTAATTTGCAATTCGTGTGAAATTGTTGATATCGGATTTTGGGGTTGAACAACAGATTGTGGAGGCTGGTTCTGATGAGGTGGAAGGTAATTTGGAGGATATTTAATTTGCAGCTCGTGTGAAGTTTTTGATACCAGATTTTGGGGTTGAACAACAGATTGTGATATAGAAGTTGGGGATTGATTTTGATCAGGCGGAAGATAATTTGGAGGCGGATATTTAAGTTGTTCAGATTGTTGTGAAGAAGATTGTGATTGAGGAGAATGGTCAATAGGTTTCGAATCGGATGGTGGTGTTAATTGCTGACTTGATTTGATAATGGGTGTTAGATTTTGTGAATCATAATCATTTTCTTTTGATTGTTGAGGATAATTAGTATGAGATAGCGAATACATTAATTGCTTTGGAGATTCGTGCACAATTGTTGAAGGTGAAGGCGATGCCATAGAATTAGAAATTTTCGGAGAAACATCTGGAGGATATGCTGGATATTCGGTAGGCGGAGGTGGATACTCAGTAGGTGGGGGTGGATACTCAGTAGGCGTAGGTAGATACTCAGTAGGCGGGGGTGGATACTCAGTAGGCGGGGGTGGGTATTCAATTGGAGGTGGTGGCGGATAATAAATTTGAGATTGTTGATATTGATAATTAGACGTATATTGATTGGTAGATTCTTTCTTTTTTGGTAGTACTCCGATTTTTATGTCGGGTGATGGTTCATTTTGTTGTATTTGTTGCTGTTGCAATTGTACTTGAGAATGTGATTGTTGCATGGGGGGATCAACTAATTGGACATTAAAAGGAGGTTTTTGTCCGATTGCTGGGGTTGATGTTGGTATTTGATTATTATAATTATGATTATAATTATTATTCAAGTTTAGAGTCGGAGTTCGTTGTGTACCATTTTGATTCGGGTCATGGTAATATCCCTGCTGTTGCTGTTGTTGCTGTTGTTGTTGAGGTACATATCCTATAAGGGATGTTGTTGATTGTGTTGCAAATTGAGTTTGTCCACCTGGTCCATAAAATCCATAAGGATGATTAACATTATTGTTATAGACATCTCGGGTAGATTGATCAACGGGGGGTCTAACTCCTTCCGGTGGATATTGTTGCTGTGAAGATCTCTTCGATAGCTTAGCTTTACTTGATTTTAATTGTTTTAATAATCCTTTTCCAGCTTTCTTTAGATCAAATGACCTATGCTTTGATGAAGATGATGATGTTGTATTGTTATTGCTATTATTGTTATCGTTTCTATTATTAATGTTATTACCATCATCATTCAAACCATGTAATTGATGTCCATAATTTACTTGACCTTGAAATTGCGGTGAAGGCAGTTGTTGGTGATTTTGATAATATTGTAGTTGCTCCTGCTGTTGCTGATGCGAAAAAGTATTTGATCTATGAGATTGTTGACTATATTGATATCCAGAAGGTGGAGGTTGATTAATGGCTACATTCTGATATTGCTGTTGTTGCTGTGGCATATATTTATATTGAGGCGGAAGAGCCACCGATCCCAGATGGTTATTTACTGGAAATTCATTGCTCGAACTTTTTGATCTTTTTGATGTTAATTGTTGTATTCTTGGATCGTTCTATACATATATGCAAAAAATGAAATTAAATGTTGTATTATTAATTATTTATTTTTTAATATTAACCATTAAACTAACCCATGTCACAACGTTTCTTTCAGCATGCACATCTAAACCATTAAGAGTAATTTAAAGTCAATAAACTATATAATTTATCGTTAATAAATTTGCGATATTTATGAGTAGTTTGATGTTTACTTACAGAAATTTCTTCCGTAATTTTCATCGAACTATTGATTTGGAAAAATTGATCAATTGATAAATTAGAACTCAGAATTGGCAAAAAAATAAATTATTATTATTTGTGAAAAAACGAATTATTTTAAATTTCTATTTTAATAAAAAATTATTTTAAATTTCTAGGCATACAAACAGTAAAATTCTTAATAAAAAAATCAATTACCCATCTCCATAAAATTATGAAATCAATAATACTAAAATCATAGTAAACTATAATAATATTCTTAACAACAAACACATTGATATTTCCCTCTGCTTTATCTCCTCTTTATTATCTCTCCTTCTTTTCTCCTAATTCTCTTTCAAAATAATGAAAATTCAATCAAACTTCAAAATTAAAATAAAAATTTAACGCAAAAGCTTACTCGTTCTTCCCACCCTGGTGGTAACGGTGCAGCAGACATAATAATAATTTTTATCAACCGATGAAAGTTTTGCTATATCTTCTTATTTAATTCTCTTCGCTCAACAAGGTGTCTTTTTCAGTATATCATATAACCGAGACACTTTCTCGTCTTAACTTTTGACTTTACAGAAATAGAAAGTTCTATAGTGGAATTTCAAATAACATATAATAATAAAAAACAATGCATAGTCTGGAATATTCTTTCACCAAAAAGCATTGAACGACAAACAATGTCCTGATCGTGATTGCTTGTTATAGGAAAATCAGCTTATCGTGTTACACGTTATCACTATTAAAAGAAGCTTGATGGAACAGACAATTTTTTTTTTATTCTAAACGAAAACTTTAAATAATTTCCCTTGGTAGATTACACAAAATTGTATATATATTAATAAATTACATTACATATGTATATTTATATGCTAATAACACGGTACTAAGATCTTGTTCTATTCTTCTATGTAACTAGCTGCTTGACCAGGCCCAATAGGGATGATTTCAGGCTGTGGTATTATATACCCGTTAGCAGTTGCGACTGGTTGTTGCATCGTAGGAAAAGAAGTTTGAAATGGTTTGACCTCAGGTTTTTCTTGTTTTTTCAGACTCGAAAATAATTTTTTTCCTGTATCTATTCCGAATTTTAAAGTCGTTTCGACCGCTTTCCCTGCTTTGGCACCAAAGTCTCTAGAATCTT